TCTTTCGCTAACTATTGCTTTCAGGACATGGTACCTGCACTTGTGGATGCAATCAAGTCTCACGGCTTGGCTCTTGTGGTCGACAAATCAACAGACCCCATCGAGGCAAGCCCACATTCAGATCCTTTCTCACGAACGGTTCAGGGGGTAGATGGTGTTTTGAAAAGCTATGGTGTTTTGCGATTTAATGACTCGATAGACATGTAGAATGGTTTACAATTAGATGTTACGGCATAGTCACGTCTATCTGGACTGAGCTATATCACATTTATTCATCAGTCTTGAATTCATGTCGATTGGCCATCATAATGTTGACAAAGACTCTTGCACTAGCTTAAGCGCCCTTGTATTCATATTTAAGAGTTGACAGCTCCGCCTCTGGGTCGACGCTAGCCATGACCATCTTTGCTACGAGAACTACAATGTATACTATGGCCGGCAGGTTGCCCATCCCGATCCATCCAAAGCTCGCCACGTTTGATTTCGTGACCATGCCCATGAGAACCAGGGCGGCGATGAGGCCGAGGTTTAGATACGGCAGGTATGTCTCGAGGGGAGACCTCTGCGTCGCCCCCATGCTCAGCGGGAGGTCCCGACCCCTGCCCGGCTTGCTCTTACCATCCAGCAGCGCGATGCCGGTGGCCGTGGGCGGCAGGCGGTGCAGGATGAACGCCGTCGAAGCCAGGGACGTGGCGGCGAGGATGGAGAAGAGCCTCGTGACGCCGGCATAGAAGGGCAGGAGCAGGGACGGGAGGTAGCAGGCGGCGGCGGCGAGCGATGCGTAGAAGAGGACGCGGGTGAAGGAGGCGTTGCGGGAGGCGTTTTCGGCGGCGAGGCGGGTTATGAGGGCTTCCTGTTCTATTGTATTTCTCCAAATTTAGCATCTATATGATTTTTCTATGATATCGCAGAATTTGAAGTAGCTTCGATTACTGGATGAAGAGGAAACGTACCTTCTTCGTCCATAGCTTCGGGCTCGGAGCCTTCGCTGTCGCTGTGGTTGTCATCTGGATACTGGAACGTGCGCCGCAGCCGGGCGGCAGTGCCTCTAGTATTATCCATGGCGAGGCCTGAAGAAAAGCCCAGGTCAAAGAGGGCAGAAAAGAACTTCTCTCTCGGAGCTGTACCAGAATGCCAGCGATGACGTTGTTGGGCGCAGAAGCTTGTGAATGTCCCTAGCCACAATCGGGCGCCACAAGTGGCTGGACCCACATTGTCGGCGGGCAGCCCACCAGAAAGTATCGCCAGTTCTTGGAACATCCGATTAACTGCTGGGCTTCCGGTTGAACCCCAATTGCAACGAAAAACGACGGACAAGCCACAACCATGCTGTCACGGGTTGTCCGGCGCCGACTGGCACCTCTTGCGAGGACGAGCCTCTCCACCGAATCGAGAACCGCGCCGACCAGGTGCCTACAGAGAAGATGGTTGACACCGGCTCCCAGGCCTGGAGATGGGCCGCTCATGTCCCGAAGAGCGGATCGTGAGCTTCCAGGTATGTTTGCGCCCGGCCAACCTTATAAACCTATCAACCAAAAAGGGGAAATGTTTTGACTAACAGTTCTGTTAAGATGTCGCCCAGATCGGCTTCCGCTGGCGCCGCTCCATGCCCATCTTCGTCGCCCTCATCGCCATCGCCTCGGCCGCCATGTTCAACTACCAGAAGTCGTCGTCGCCCGTCATCGCCTCGACCATGTACGCCCTGCGCACGAGCCCGCGCGCCCGCGAGGCCCTGGGCGAGGAGATCTACTTCAAGCACCAGATCCCCTACATCCACGGCGAGATGAACCAGATGAAGGGCCGCATCAACATCTGGTTCACCGTAAAGGGCACCCGGGGATGGGGCACCATGCGCTTCGTGAGCAACCGGCCCACGCACCGGGGCATGTTCGAGACGTCCGAGTGGAGCCTCGAGACCGAGGACGGCCGGACGATCAACCTCTTGGAGGGGGGTGATCCCTTCAGGGGACTGCTCACCGATGAGGATGACCAGGCGTTCGAGGCGGAGGAGGCTTCGAGGAGGGGGTTCAGACAGCAGGGTGCCCTCAATCGGTGAGCGGCTGGTAGTGCGATCTCACTATGCATTCATGGGGGATCTAGTGTACAATGGAAGAAAGTAATCTCAGCACAATGGACGGGAACGAAAGGTTGGACGAGAGAGAGGGTGGTGTAAAAAAAGGTTTCTTGTACAATAGTGAATGTTTTATATATAGTACATGCCCAGCTTGACTCCATTAGACCGAGAGTTTCTACCGCATATGCATCTCTTCATCCGTGATCTCTTGACCAAACCACGATAGTTCATCATAAATTTTCACAGTCGATCCCGCTTCATAGATCGAGTTCCGGTTGTCGCTGAGCCTTCAGCTCCATGTGCCTCAACCTGGCAGCCTCCAATTTCTCCTCGGCATCTGGGTTGCGTTCTAAAAGTGTCTTGAGCGAGCTCTCGCGGTGGTGCAGAGCGGGGGGCTTTCTCTTCTTTGAATCTTGGATCTTCAGGGTGCGGCCCTTGGGCCCAGGGACAGGGCCGCTGACCAGCACGATGCCCAGCTCGTTGTCGACCTTCATAATCTTGAGGTTCTGCACTGTGACCGACTCATTGCCCATCCGACCGGGCATCTTCTTCCCAGGAAGAACACGACTACCACTGCCCTGCGAGGGACCAGTCGAACCAATGGTACGGTGGTTCTTGGAGTTACCGTGGGACGCCTCCTGTCCAGAGAAGCCGTGACGCTTCATACCACCCGCGAAGCCCATACCCCGTGAGTGGCCCCTGACGTCAACATACTGGCCAATCTGGAACCAGTCGGGCTGCAGCTGAACGCCCACGGGCAGGAGGCCACCCTTATCCCTAACCTTGAACTCGTGGAGCTCAGCCTTGGGGGCGATGCCCTTGGCCTCGTAGTAGCCCAGCAGCGGGCTGGTGACGTTCCGCGCGGCCTTGGAGCCCATGCCGACCTGGACGGCGTAGTACCCGTGCTTCTCGTACGTCTTGTTGGCCACGACCTGGACCTGCTCGAGCTGCAGGACGGTGCAGGGGACGCGGTCCTTGCCGACGAACATGCTCGTCATGCCCTTCTTGGTGGCGAGCACTCCCGCCCGCAGGGGGGTCGTCCTCTCGCGGCGCTTCAGGGCGGCTCCCGGTCCCGTCGTGGGTTTGGGGAGGCCCGCGCTGGGCTGGTTGAAGCGCTTGTGCTTGTTCCGGGGGGGAGCCGTCGACCAGCCGTACTTGATGCCGCGGGACGGTGTGAAGGGGAGGACGAGGGGGCGGGCGAACTCGAGGCGGGCGCAGAGCCGGGGGAGGGCCACCCGCAGCGGTAGACGGGGCGGCATTGTGGGCGAATTGATGTGATGGCGTCGAGTTAGGTGGTGTTGCGTGGGATTGGAGCCATTGGTTATTGAAGGCGTGGGACGAAATTTTGGCCGATTGGATCATCCCAGCTCGGCTCATCTACGGCACCCGCCAACTACCCTGGACCACTTGGATTAGTGCCGCCTGTTCTGCGCCAGACATTCACTTCACCAGCTGCTTCAGTTGTTCAATATAATGAGTTGACAGATTCGTTTTTTGGTTGTTCAAATTACAGTGACTAGTACTAAGACGTAGCCTCTTCCACGCCACAATTTTAGAAGTAAACACCCAGCCGAATCACAACCCGTGACTCATCTTATTCACACTCGTCCCCTTCACCTTGTGGTCGCCAGGCTGCGCCGCCGCCTCGTACAGGATGTTGGAGGGCGCTTTACCCAGCTTCGTCCACTCGCCCTTGAACCCCAGGTAGCTGACCCTACTCACGTCCTCGTCCCCGTCGCCAAAGTTGTCCACGAAGAAGAGCACCAGCCGGTGCACCTTGCCGAACAGCGCCCGCTTGACGGGGATCTCCTGCACGTCCGACGTCTGCGACAGCTCGAACTTCTGCACCGGGGTAGCGTCCTCGGCCGCCGAGAAGTCCATGTCGTCCCGGTTGATGTAGACGTGGAGCGTCTTGGGCGCCGACGGGCTTGGGGATGTGCGCAGGAGGATGGAGTGTAATTTGATCTGCGCCGTGAAGCTATGGGATATGTTAGTTGGTGTTTGGCCAAGCCAAATTCTTTTTTGAATCCATAATGTAGATTGAAGATTGAGCAAATCATCAGCTCTTTGAAAGGCATTCTGATTACGTACGGCACGGTCATTAGGATCTGTTCATCGGCATCGCTTTCCAGCTCGGGCTCGACACTCAGTCGTTCTGCCCAGGTCTTCTTCACAATTGCCTTGCCTGCGTCTCGCCGCGACTCATTCAGAGTGATGATTTCATCAAAGTTAACTTGCTCGTAGAGCGAGAACTGGATTGCTGGGGTAAGGTCGTCGGTATGATCATGTTCATGGTCGTGATGATCATGGCCGTGCCCCGCATGCTCATCGTGACAGTGAGACATGGTTGACTGCCGGATGTATCGCAGGGGATGATATGTGATGAACCCGATGGATGAAAGACTTTAAAGGGTATCCAATCTGGAAGAGAGCCACTTAATGGTAGTTGACTGTTGCTTTTGCAGTGGATAAATGTAGGTGTTAGGTGGAAGAGGACTCGCTGCTTTAAAGTATCCATCTATTAGTGATGAGCCCCCGCGGCTGCCCGCCCAGTATAAGATGAGCATTAACTCGACTTTCGACAACACCCGCGACACAACATCAAAGCTTTAGTGGCCTGCCGTTGCACAAGAAAAGGCCATGGTTGTAGTTTTGAAAGTATATTGACAATGATGTACAATCCTAGACTACCGACTCTCCAGATGAGGACAAAACAGGTCGCAAAGCCTCACCCTACCTATGCATCTACAAAAACACTATGCCAGTCTGTGGCATCTTGCACCAGAAACGCCGGTGCCCATGTGAACCAAAAGTAAAGAAACAAACAGAACGCCCCCTATGCCATGCGCCAAAGCATTGGTTGCCCTCCCAACTCCAAACGCATCCCACACAAAAGAAGCCGTACAGTGAGCCGTAATGTGTATTATCAAGCATTCGAACACTTCCTCTCCTCGCTCGACTGCCCAGCTTTTCGAAGCAGGGCCTCTTCTTTCCGCCGCTTCTTCTCTGCCCATTCTCGGCTCGCTGCCCTAGAGCGTTCGGCCGCTTGCTGCCTTGCTGATTTCGCAGCCTCTTCTCGTTCCCGTTTCTCGCGCTCCCGGTTGATCTTGAGGCTATTATCCTGGATGAGAACCTCCTTACCTCTTGCCCGCTGGTTCACCACTTCTTCAACAGATACCGAACTGCGCTTTCCAGATGTGCTTCTAGCCGACTCAGAGGTCCCGCGGCTTGTGTCGTCAGGAGGTTCGATGAATGACACTCGGCCTCGACGGCCTGCAGCTTTTCCGATAGTGAGTGCAGCCGATGAAAAATTTACCGGGCCAGCGGAGGCTCGTTTGAGCTTCGATGTTGCATCGGCAGGAGGGTCTTTATGAGTGTCTGAATTAACTGCCGCTTTTGGTTTCTGAGCGCGAATAGTAGGAATTGGACCTGCACTGTGTCTGACCGGACGGGCCTTGAACTCGCGCTTTTTACGATCTTCTTCTTCTTGAGCCTTCAGTCTGGCCTCTCGCTCTTCTCGTTTCCGCCGAGAGATTGCTTCTCCGGGAAGCTCGAAAGATGGCTTCGTCAAAGGTTTATCGGACTTTGGACGTGGAGGTGCAGCATAGGCCTTTGGCGGGGCAGATTGTTGTTGTGCCCGGCGGGCTTCACGTTGTTCCTTCAGTCGGCGAGCGACAGCATCACCGGGGAGTTCAAAGTTAGGTACTGTAAGCGGTTTTGTCGAAGTCACCATTGGCTTGGAACTAGAGGAGCGAGGAGCTACTGAGGTCCTTGGCTGCGAAGCGTCATTCTGCACTGAAACAAGGACTTTCTGTTCTTCGGTTGGGCGACTTCGAAGAGTCAATGAGCTGCTCCGCCGGAGCGCTGGCCGTATCTTCTCACTGGATTTTGCTCGCACAGTCGCGGCGCCCTGAGGGATCGCCAGTGTGACGCGCTTTCTAGCCTTGTCCTTCTTTGTATCAATCACGGGCTCTTGAGTAGGTTGTGACTTCCCACGGTCGGAGGATCCACCGCTTTTGGAGGTTGCGATGGCTGTCACGGCTTCTAATTCATCCTCGAGCTGATCGAGCTCAGCGAGTGAGTCCTCGATCCTTGGCAGTGAAAAAGACCCAGCACGTGAGGATCCATCCGCAAAGCTGCCGCTCCTCTCACTGAAAACAGTCAGTGAGGGTGACACGGCTTGCTCCATCACATCAATCGTTGAGATTGGTTTTTGATAAGCATCCAGGTAGGTACCCTGAGTATCGTTCGACATGGTAGCCATGATATTTTGGCCCTCTGGCCCTTCGTTCTGCAACATCATGCTAGCATCAACCCCTAGAGGAGTGGCTATAAAAGTATAGCTGTTAGCTAAGGGACACCCGACACCGGCCTTCCTAGAGGCTGATGATCGCCGCTTGCGAAACAGCAAATTGCAACCGAATACCATTTTCCCGTTCGTTCTGCTGGAGATGTCGCTCTCGCTCGTTGTGTGGGAGACATGGTGCCCGGCTGAAGTTGCTGGCGCTGGGCGTATGATCAACCATTCGAACTGACCTGCCAACTGGTTCTGAATTTGCTCCTTGATCGAGCAATGCTCGTATGCGTTTGCCAAAATATGATTCGTCTGGTGGCTGACTACATCGACTAGGCTTAGTCACAGCGCAGAACACAAGAGCACGGAAAGCTACTCACCACCACACGAGGAAACGTTGCGCGATGGACTGGTAACAACTGGGATAGTGGTCGCGAGGTGCGATTTGCGAACAATGTCGACTACTCGACTCTCCTCCTGGCCCTCGGCGGACTCGAGAGTATCTGGCTGAAGTGATAATCGCTGTTGCGTCGCCCTCGAAGTTGCGTTAGCTCCGGGGGCCAAAGGCTTCGCGAAATCTAGGTCTCCCCGCGCCGTCTTCTAAACGGTCGAGGTCGATTCGTTTGTGAGAGCGTTCGTGTTCTCGTCGCCGCCAACCGACAGCGCTCCTAACGGCTCGCAATTGGCGCTGGCGGCCAGATCAAAGCTGTCTTGCAACCCAATTGCATCGAGTGAGAGAAGATCCAAGCTGTCTTCGCGCTGCGGCGGCGGGAGGTATGTATGCCCCAACATCCTCTCTGGCGCGACTCCTTACCAATATTGGGACCCTTGAAAACCTTCAACGCCAGTCAAGGGTTATTATCTTGTAATTAACAGGGGGTGCAGGCCGAAGTTGACGGAAGCGGGGCCGTAATTAAGTCCAAAGACCGGAGGAGGATCGGATGTTGTCAGGGGTCAAGAAGATGACTTCGGTGGGAGCTTGTGCAGTGTATTTAATAAAGAGTTGTGCTACGGATGCAGCAGTAAGCAGATTCACAAGATAAGACTGAGCAAAATCTATAATGGTGTTTCCATGGGGAAAGGAAAAAGAAGAAGAGGAGAGAGAAATCAGCACGTCTCTTATTGCTAGAAGACTGGCTACCAGGCACCTTCCTAAGCCATGTCCTCTTCTGCCAAAGTGAGAAGTTCCTGAGCGAGTTGTGACTTCCAACAATTTGTGCAAGCTGCACATGTTGGTCGGTCTTTGGTGAGAGAGACGCCGCGTGACGGAAGTTGCCATTCCCCCACGCGTGTGAAATTACTAATCTCGCGTCTGATCACACGTCCATTCAAGAGGACATCTGCAAAGAGCCAATTGCCTCTCTCAGGTGTTCTGCTGGAGAAAAACCTCGTGTATCTTGAAATAGATAGACCACCATATTTCTTGGCGGATGGTGCAAATAATAATTTCTTTAATTCATGAGGTTGGCTTAACTATTTGATGTCTGGACACCCCTGTCAGATGGACAATATCCGAATTCGAGGCCAACACTGGAGAATGTACATATTATAGATTCCATACATAGCTCTTGGTTCGGTGCCGCCCCCTGTATTTTCGGCTATGATGAGGTATTGTATAGAGCTTCTGGTTGGGTGTCTACCACCTGAGCCCCAGTGTTGTATGTGCGGGACAACCTCGCTCCTTGAGGTAAGCCACTACTCGTAATATGCAGAACATACACGCCCTGTGCCCCAAGGGGGGGCGTAAACGGCGTTAAACAATATCATCATCATATGCAGAACATACTACGCACAACATGTTAGACTAGTAGCGCTGCCCTTCTGCCTTGATTACGATATTGTTTGACGCCGGCCACGTCCCCGCTCCGCTGGGGGCACAGGGCGCCTGCCCTTCTGCCTTTTCCAGGTAGCGGTTCAGTCGAAGTCCTAGCCGTTGGCCGTCTTGAAGTCGAAGATCCAAGCTCGCCATCAGCATCTCGAATTGACATGTACCGTATACGGCGTTCAATGCACACAAAAAAGGCCGTATGCAGGGGGGGTGATACCGCTACGGCGCCCAGGATCAGCGTGAAAGCACATAGCTTCCATCGTGCCGTTTCTTTCGGCCTGCTGAGATTCCTTGAATATCCGCTTACTGCAGGAGACTTCTGAAGTTATTCGCCTTCTATCACAGTCTTGCCCACACAACTTTGATTTGTTGTGTTCTCATGTCCGAAGATTGCACCTTCGCGACTTAGAACAAAGCCCAGGGGTTAACATCATATAACACTGCGTCAATGCTGCCACGGTGAGAGCTTGTCTCCCAACCTCGCAACATTCGGGCAGTCGAGGAAGGCAGAATCGCAATTCAACTGCTTCGAAGATTGATGGCGATAGGAAGCTCCTATGAGTCCTCTTCGTTTCCGGGATGTTTCATGCCTGCTCATCGGCCTAAAACAGAAGCCTCATCATCGCCCGCTGCTGCCTCTGCAGCTTCCGCTTGAGCCTGGACTACTGGCGCGTGCTCGGTCGGTATTCGCACGAGGGTCTGAGGTAGCGCCTGAGTTCGTTGCTGTGAATCTCCTTCCGTGGCTGAGTTACTCGGTGGGGTTGCAAGTTTGGCTAAGTGGTCCGTCAGCCTTCATTCCTCACGACATGCGCGTGCAAAGATACTATCATACTCGAAGCCATGTTTATCGCCCTTAGCACATTATGCCAGTTGCCGAGAACGGTTGCAACAGCTAGTCAGATAATTAACTGTGTTGTCCTAACCCAGTTGTGATGCGCGAACTCGCCTACCTTCTGTTCCATCAGAAAGTGTAGAGAGCTTCTGCTCTAAAGCCTCCATCTGCGTTGCAACTGCAGCGCTTAGCTCTTTGAGTTCTTGCAAATGCGCAAGCTCCGCCTTCTTCTCCTCAATACGCGCTACGAGAGCTGGTGAATGTGCAGCAGATGAGCCCACACCACTGGGTCCACGCAGGTGACCAGAGAAGGATCGCGTAGGGTACGACATCTCGATTGTATTCGTTTCAGAGGGCCCCGGGCCAGTTTCGAAAGAGTCGAGTCGGGCTTCGTTGGATTCGTGTCGAATTAGTGCGTCGAAAGAGAACTGATCTGATTTGATACAACATTGAATTGCTACCCAATCCATGTGCTGTCCCGCGTCTTGACACTGGTGTTGGTGGGGGTCAGTGGAGCTTGGGCCAGCTTTCACGTGCGTCGCCGCGTTGCTGCCCTGCCAACCGACGTTTCTTGGCGGATCGGGCGCGCTAACCCAAAACAGGCCGTTTGTAAATACCTGCCAGCCCATGACACCACTGAAATATTTCCCACTAAGCCAGGTAGTTGACATCCACTCCACAGACCGACACTTTCCCAACCTCCTCGAACAAATTGACGTCGCGAGCTGCCAGAAACAGTTCCTAGAGGATCACGAACGGTCTCTTGCGCTTCGGTATACGCGCATTATGCAAGATGGCTAGGCTTAACGAACCTCCCGTGTCCACGGACAGCCTGGAAACACGTAAGTTTAACGCCCGCGATCTTTGTTGCCGTCTATAAGTCTCGGAGTGCTAAACCATTATCCCGCCCTCTACAGTCCGAAGAAAGCTTCTACGCCAGAATAGAGACTTGGCCAAATCAAACAACGTACGCGCCCTCAAGATTAGAGAGCTGGAGAATGATTGCGCCTGCATGTTGTCCGAGAATCTCCAGTTGCGAAGTCGCATACTCGAGCTTGAGAAACAAGTAGAAGATAACGACGCACGACGAATCGCCGACCATGCTCTCGCCATCAAGGCCAAGCTAGAATCTCAGCTCACAGAATGGGGTGACCTAATCGCCGGCTTGGGTTTGGAACCGCCCCCCAAGCGACACTCGCCCAGTATCCGAAGGACCTCTTCCTCCAGACGACGAACAAGCTACGCCTATGGTCGTGTCAGCCCCTCCCAGAGACGCCTTCGAGAGGTTGCTCGGGAGATCGAGGAGCTTGGAAGTATCTCAGAACACAAATCCTACCCGCGCTTATCGATGAAGTAAGTTGATGAGGAGAATAAGTATCTTTTACTGCTTGAAGCTGACAGTCCAAAGCCCTGAACAGATACTTGCACTACGCTCCGAGGCTGATTCAGTCGAGTCTCCGGAGCTAGGCCCCCCACCTATGTCACAGTTCATCGATAATGAACCAGCCAAAGTCGAATCCCCTCCCGCAAAATCTCCTGAACCATCAAGCCCGAGCCCGAGGAACAGAATGCAATCACCAGAATTGTTGCCATCCCCGAGAGCCGACCCATTCGTGGACAACTCCCCTTCCCCGAAGAAACGTGATATGCCATTGAAGCCAATGCCCCAGCTACAGTCCAAGACGGAGTCCCTCAAGCCAACAGTGAGGCCTCTACAGTTGAAACCACAGACAGCGGAGCCCCCAGCTGTAGAGAAAGAAAACACAACGACTGCTCCTCCTGCTAAGGCCGGGACAAAGCGCAAGTTTTCCGTGAATGATGATTCAGAGAAGACTGGTTCAGGACGGGATGAGAACCAACCTCCTCGAATGATGGCTAGCAAAACATCAATCCGGGAGAAGACCGGCGGGAAAACTCTCAAGGAGCTGGTCACAATGAGGAAAGACACACGAGATCAGGCCTCAGTCCCGTTGGCGACCCGCAAACCACTCTCAGCCAAGAACACAAACGATGACTTTACCTCTCCAAAGAAGAACCCCAAGTCAGGAAAAGCGGCCATTCTAGATGACGTTACGATTGGAAAGGCGGAATTGGCTAAGTCCAAGCCAACCCAGGAACCAGTCAAATCGAAGACCAAGAACTCAGCCCCCCTCAAAGTTGTACCCCTTCCATCTCCTGAACCAGAGCCAGTAGTTGCGATTGTCGACAGCGAGCCCGAAACATCTGATGCACAGCCCACCAAGGTTTCCAGAGGAAGCACGCCCCCTCCCGTCAATATGCCAGCCGAGGAAGAAGTGTCCCGCCCCAGTCGTCGAAGCAGGCCAACTATTAGCTATGCGGAGCCCAACCTGAGAGACAAGATGAGGAGACCAACCAAGGAATTAGTGGATGCCGTTGCAGGCTCTCGCAGGATTAGCCACACTGAGCCTATCCACCGTGATCTTTCTAAGAGAAAATCGGAAGCAGAGACATCAGCGGGCGCTGCGGCTTCTGGCGAAAATGTACATGAGAGGCTTCCCCCCAGCCCATCAGAGAAGGTCTCACAAGAAGACGAGTCCAAGTCAAGGTCTACAGAGGGATCCAGACGATCTCCCCCAGCAACAGAGGAAGAGGAGAGTAGGGAAGAAGATACGTCAAAGGAGAGTTCAGAGAGTATCCCAGGATCTGATGACGTCGATCTTTATGAATTTACGAGTTCATCACCGAAGCATGGGAAACAAGGACCAGCAGAGGGCAAGAGAAGGCGGGGCCCAAGCCGGCAGTCCAGATCCTCGCGGCGGTTCTCCGCGGCAGTTGACTCAGAGGATGACAGCTTTGAGATGAGGGAACAGACCTCGTCGAGACGGCGAAGTATGATGGTGTAATGAATAACTGATAGCACTTGTGGCAGCATTTGCATGGAGCAAGGCGTTGTTTTTTCGGAGTGTCTATTCGGATTGCTAGGATAACTCACAGGACGACCTGTTTTTCTTTTTTTCAATCAATGTTTGAGGAGTCTTTATTCAGGTGGCTTGCAACGGTTCAGACGGCTGTAAATGATCAAGATACCAAAGCGATGGGAACTTTTTTTCAATAATTTCTAAATTCACGATATTCTTTCATTGTCTTTGGTTCAGGCCAACTTGTAGGCCA